TATCAATAAATAAGATAACGTTGTCAGTCTATGGATCATAGACATAAGCTACAGGTAACAATACATCGATCCATTTCCACACACGAATCCCAGTGGTTTGATCACATCTTTTCACCAATGCACGATGGGTAAAGTACACAGCTCGACAGTAATGCTTACACTCACTGCATGCTGCCTTGATGAACGTCCTGGGTGACCTGTTGGAATCTTCATCTTCGATCCATCGCCACGGACAAAGACTGGTACCCACTCTATTGTTGTCTACGACAGTGACTTGACGTCTAGTGCGACGAGGGATCTTCAAGATTTGACGAAGATGAGCCACCTCTACTTTCTCAACAAAATAATAATGTCGGCGAAGATGCTTGAGTTTCTTGTTGGGAGAAAGACGTTTATCTGCTGAACATCTTCCCGCATCGGCAACAAGACTTGATAGACATACAGCTACCACAATGGCGAGAATCTGTTAAAAATGAAGACATCAAATATCAAAATCATGGCTTGTTATTGTCCCTTCTGTTAGCCCTAGGAGACTTGACGTTTGCCAATGACGCAGTGAACTGAACAGGTGTGCGTGAGTTTTGACATGACGGGGCAATACTTACACCCGGTCCTCCTTTGTGAAGCTAAATCTTGTATTTGTGGCTTGAAAATTACTCCTCCAAAATACGACCAGTTAAGAATACTTAGCATGCATTACAGCTTACAGCTGAGGTTATTTCAGGCCATAAAAGAGATGACAATAGATCAGATTCACAACAACATCTTAATATTTGATATTGATGATTTTTCTCGTCAAGATGACGTCACGAGGTACATGCGCGTCAGTATCAACACTTCGCTGATTTCATATGCTTGAAATTACTTCCGGGAATCCTCAACTTCTTTTCCGTAAAAGCTTTTTAAATCTACATGGTAAAGCTATGTCATGTATATTCGCTTCTATTCATGAATTGAGTATAAAGTTACTCCATGATGCTTTTGTGCTCAATGTGGGAGAATAAACTAATATTATATTAAATTGTAAATTGAATTTTAAAAGTATTGACTATACAATAGCAGAACTTGCACAGGTGAATGTTCAGTCGAGAGATATGTTTTTTGTATTTGTTTTTACCTTGTTCTTTGCATCCATATTCGAGCTTGAAGTCGTTCTTTTTCTTCAGTTGTGTTCGCAGCTTTTAGTTTGAAAGGCGTTTTCAGATTGACTAAAGTGAGTAAGTTGTCCATCTTTTATAAGCCAGCAACTCGTAACTTGGAGATGGAAATGTACTAAATCTCTTTAGTCAGTATTTTTTCGTATAGTTAATTGTTTTTATTGGTCGACAGATTGCATTCATCAACGTCCAGAGTCCATTGCTTTCAACAGGAACTAAAGTCAAGTCTACTGTAACCATGGAAACATTACTTTTGCCAATCATTTATTGCTCTTATTTTTGACAAAACTAAATGATTGTTTTTAGTGTAACACTATTAGATTAGGTATAAGTCTAGAAAAATCAATATTTTTTGACATCGAGCATTTCAATTTTTATTAGATTATGAAAAATGCGCAAAACAAGTGGAGTGGAAAAACATTGCGCACTATGC